GCCCTCATTCCTTTGGGCCAAGTTTGTAATGAGAGTAGACCTTAGTTCTACGAATAACTCTTTCACAAGAACTTTAAGTATTTATCGACTCTGTTCAATACTGCTTCATCAGTGCGTCGAGAAGAAGCACCATATTTCAGCCAGGACAAAAATTTTTTTTGAAAGACGTCCCCTGAAATCCGCTTGCGTCTTATGCAGTGAAGCTGAAAGTTTTCGCAGTTTACGGAGACAAAAACCACGACATCAGCGATTTTGTTAGGTGGCTGAGCTATTCACCTTTAATGTTAATCCCAATCTTCCAGTTAATCCTCGAAAACCCCATTTCCAACAGACAGTGAAGAGTTTGGCGGTGCCCCCCGCCCTCCTTATTTTCACGCCCTTCTCTGCGGGAAGAAGCCAGAGGGGTTGTCGAATAGCGTGATGTTCGTGAAGCAGCTGGAGGGCGTTTCCTTTAGCATGTTAATGTAAAAGGTCTCGTTGCGCTGTTCTGGCAGAGTGGTTCTCGCTGTCGAAGCAGGCTCTGCACAGAGCGAGCTGCAGTTCCCTCGCGTGCTTATGGAGTGGAGTTACGGTAGAGATGTTAGCTGTTGTTCTGTAGCTTCTTCGGAATTCTGTCTATTCTCTTCGTTGCCCTTTGTCCAGACATCCCTTTGTAGAGTTGTAAGAGCAACCAGAACGGCCATAGTTCTTCAGATCTCACATCTCGCATTTTTGAACAATGTTGTTGATTTTTCATTCGTTTCAGCTCGATTGTTACTTTTATCCGTTTCCAGTTTGCAACTGAATCTCTCCATTACAGTCCTCCACACGCCTGATATCTGCTTTGATCCTTATAACTGTCAGACGGTCTCTGTGGGGCATTTCCTTCCGGGCGTTTGATGCGCGGTTTCCTGAACTTCGATTATGAGGACCTTGAGCGCACTTCTTTCAGGCTGTTGGAATGATGGTGGGAGGACGCGTGTCTTTGACTCAAAGACCTGGGAGTTTTAAAATTTTTTTACAATTAAGCTGTATGCCAGCTCTCTCAGAGGTCAATCCGCTGTTCCCTTGTTCAACCCTGATAATGGACTGCTAAAGCGCTAACTCTTTCCAGCAGTGTTTGAGACTTTTATGGTTATTTGGTGTTTTCTCTTATTGTCACAATTCGATGATCTATCTCGAAGTCTTCCTTTAGCGTCCGTCTATCAGCAGAGAAAAGAGGGCTCCTCCTTGTCGATTCTATCGTTTTTCATTAACTTCGGTAGCAGCAAGCGACATTCGAATGCACAAATTCATGTTTTTTGCTGGTCCATCATAGGATGAAATTTGGATTTGCTTTTTATGGCCTTTATTTAGTTGCCATTATGATATTTATGACGAAATTTATCAACAATTTTGTTTCACTATTACAGTGTTTAAAATTGCCTAACATTACTGGTCACACAGAATCCATTTTCAGGGACCATATAGCGCAGACATTTTTCAAAATATTAACAGACAACGGGATTCTCAACGGTTTTGTCACATTGAGAGGAGTCGTACACGGATTAGACATGAATTGCACAAATGTGTGTTAACTGTGCAATTTTTCGATCCATGTTCTAACGACATCTACCATCATGCAGAAGCTCCTCCTTGACTCTCTACCGCTGAAGAATGTCCTCATCCCTGATAAGAGGGAATCCGGACCTGTCCTTCAGGAATCTCAGACTGTCATTCGTTCAATTTCAGAGGCGGCGGAGGGTCTGCCAGAATGTCTTTCTTGCCATTTAAAAATTTGACTCCAGAAACTCACCGAGGTGTATCCAGGAATTAGCTTTCGTTTTGGCCACTTGTTTCGCTGATGTCTTGCGCACTGCTTCGTATCGCATTTGAGTTGAAGCCCCCTGTTTAGAAGCCATCTTTTGAATGCAGTCTTCTTCTCGCCAAAGCCAGTTCAATCTCTGTTATCAACTAAAAGGTTCACTCCTTTCAAACTGCGGCATTCATTGACAGTCCCTAGTGAACCGCGCTGAAAGAGCTTCTATAAAAATTCCACGCCAACTGTCATCACTGAGCTCAGTTCAAGCAGTCGTG